TAAATAACTATGAGCATATTTGTTCATGTTCCATTAATTGAATGAATGAATGAATGAATGAGTGAATGAATGAATGAATGAATAAATAAATAAATAAATAAATAAATAAGGTATTGCAACTTCTACTGCAGTTGTGGTATTCAAGACATGCCCTTCTCCTCCCCATTTCACTAATGAATAAATAAATAAATAAATAAGGTATTGCAACTTCTACTGCAGTTGTGGTATTCAAGACATGCCCTTCTCCTCCCCATTTCACTGCAAGCGTGAAATGGGGAGGAGAAGGGCATGTCTTGAATACCACAACTGCAGTAGAAGTTGCAATACCTTATTTATTTATTTATTTATTCATTCATTCATTCATTCAATTAATGGAACATGAACAAATATGCTAATGAATAAATAAATAAATAAATAAATAAGGTATTGCAACTTCTACTGCAGTTGTGGTATTCAAGACATGCCCTTCTCCTCCCCATTTCACTGCAAGCACAATATGTGGATGCATACACGGATACACAAGTGTGTAAACTCAGCTTGCTATCTTAGGAAACAAATGCTAAGATTTTCTGGTTCCTGGTGAACCTTCAGCTTGTGACGTTTTGTAATATTTTTAGCAAACGTTTATCACCATCACAAAATGCAGCCTACAAAGGGATCTTACTTGCAAGGAATGGGAAACCTACGAGTCTTCAGATATTGCTGAGCAACAACTCCCAGTTGCCTGGCCCTGCAGGGCAATGGATGTTGGGCACTGTAGGTTAGCACCTACTGGAGGGCCACAAGTTCCCCATTTTTATACTGAGTATGGGCCAAATACATGAGCCTTAAGGAAGATTACTATGAAGTGCAAACAAAATTAGATTAGCCTTGGATTCTTGGAAATAGCAAGCTTAGGCTTTGGGGTTAGTATTCAGGTCAGTGTGTTCCCATGGACTGTGAACACACATTCGAGCCTTTAAGTGCAGAAGAGAACAAAGATGCACAACTGAGCTTCTGCATTGTGAAGCCTCCAGACTAGCCAGGCCCATGTTAAGTTTTAGAGTGCTAGTCAATGGAGAAGGGACAATATTCAGGGCTTCAGCTTTTGGGGGGACCCTGAACTGGAAAATGACCCCCCCCCTTCCAGATAAGGATTTGGGTGCAGCCATTCATGTCTCTGCCAGTCCCTGACCACCATGCAGTAGATGGTTCCTGGAGTGATATGCCCTCTGTCATCATTACTGCTTCATATCATGCCTTTCTGATGTACAAATGGATGCCATATGAGTGTGCAAAACAGGCACTATGGAGCCTACAGCTCAGGTAGGTATGGAAGCATATTTGTTGTCTCAAAAATGTATGATGCAGGTAAGTTACACCTAGACTGTGTCAGCAGGCATCAATTAATTATGAGAATCAGAACCCCACAAAGCACATTCTGATAAGGGAAATTTAATTGGATCTTCAACTGTCAAGTATGAATTAGTGATTTCTAAGCCACTTAAAAGTAATTCTTAATATGATGCACAATAAAAATGAGATGGGATTCTGAATATTGTTTCATTTCACGTTACCATGAGCAGCAATTTCATAGCTACTTGGGCTATGTTGTGTGTGAGTATCTGGCTTTTTTCTCACTGTAATCTACAAGGCTCAGATCTTATGTGAAAACTTACCGGTACCATATGTTGTTGAAATGGCTGATGGGTATCCTCCCATCCCTTGCCCTGGTAAAGTAGGAGTTGCCACGGAAACCACTGGAGTAGCCAATGACTGAGCAGACTGAGAGTTATTTATCCTTTGATTCTTTTAAATGAGTAAAATAAACATATTAATGGCAGGGTGGAAAACAGTTGAAACAAATTATATTTAGAGACTGAATTTGTTCATATGGTACAAAATTGCATACAGACCTCACTACATTAACCATTTATCATGCCGCTTTTATGAACTCTGCCAATCCCATGATTTATCATTTTTTCAAGAGACCACTTGTCACCATAGTAACTCATTACATCAGAATCTCCTAGGTTACCAAACATATAAGATTTTTCCCCTTTCCCCCCACGTATACATTGGTAGCAGTCAGACTATGAGGATAAGAATGTTTAACTTATAATCCTTTAGTTTTTTAAAAATTTGCCTGGGAAATACGACCAAAAGGATGATGCTAGTCCTTCATCCCAGTTTAGTTCCAGGTATGCTTAAAAAAAGTACCAAGAATCATTAGTTGTGCCAGATGGTAGAAGAGGACTAACTAGTGAAAGCAGCACCATGGCATGCACATGAACACGCATGTTCAACTTATCTATGGTTTCTGTTCCACCTTGGGACATGTGCAGAAGCCTGCTTCCATACGCAGACCTCCTTATGAACTGGGTGCCTATGGTTAAAATAGCCAATCTACGTGATGAATATGCAATGATGCATGTTCAGTTTTCCCCAGCAGATGGTGCTAGGGTCACTTCCATTCTTAAAAATGCTGAAACTTACACGAAGGATATTATTAAATGTACCTTTACCCTGTATTTTCTTACTGTGGGATACTAACACGTACAAATCAAGATGGGAAATTTAAAGGCATGGGGATCAGATGGAAACATTAAGTTTGGGCATTCAAAAATGACATTACTGGAAGAACATTAAATCTACCTTTTTAAAATGGTGGCTTTAAAGCAGTTAAATACAAAACTTTTAAACATCTTCCAAGCCTTGAAAGATAGATGGGGCAGACTTCTGAATATTTTTTTTTTAAGAAAAGGTTCAATTGTGAGAAAGCTTCCTATTATTTCAACTGTCAACTCAGTAGGGGAAAGCAAATGAATTGTTTCTGCATGTCTTCAATAAACATTATTCTCACTTACCAAAAGCAGATCAACATCCTCAGACTGATAGCATGAGAGAGGAGGATGAATAATTAGCAAAATCAGATATTCTAAAGTGTTCTGCTTTCAATGCAAGAAGGCATAGCTTCACAACAGTACACAGTAGAATTGGCTATTAAGCTAGTGATATACCCTGGTATAACCTCATTAAACATTATTTAAATTCCTATATTTAGTACATATATCCCTGCTTAGTTTCTTCCTTTTTTCTTAGAGATGAGGATTAATCTAAGGGTATCACATCCATGTTTTTACCTTCCTAATCATTACTTCATCTGCAACTCATACTCAACAACATCACAGTTGCAAAATATCTTGCCAATCAGATGATATCTTGGAAAGTATTACTTAAAAAATAAATCATTTGATGGAGATGCTTTCTGAAGGTCAGCCACACAAGTGATTGAGCTTATCCTATTCCTTCAAGAAGAGATAGTTGCACTGATGGGGTTTTATCCAAGTATCCAAGTGGATATATAAATGCATCAGGCTAGTAGTTAACACAGAACTGTTCAAAATGGTTGTCAGTTTACTTTAGACAGAGCAGTATTCTTAGCGTTGCTTAGCACTTCTCATCGTTTTTCGAGTAGTCCTATTTTTAAGGATTACATTTCTCATGGAAAATCGACCTCCTATATGCTTTCATAGAGAATAATGAAAGATACACAGGTTTAATGCACTTCAGAAAATTCAAGGATATCTTAGCTGTCTAACATGTGGACATGGACATGATAATCATTACTAATGAAGAAAAGTTTTAATTAAAAATGCTGTTTATAATTATTGTAAAATGTAACTTTTTGGCTGCAGAGTTGCAGAAGTACAGGCTCACTTCTTTAGGTTATTACTTGGTGGGGCTCAATGAAAACTTAAAGTACTGTCTTTGTGTGATGTCAAAGCATAGCTTCAAAATGCTTCTAAAGACAGTAATAAAAGATACTATGAAATCACAGAGAACACCAACCTTTTTAGAATATAACTGAAAAAACTGTGGGGATAGGAGCAGTGGCAAGTCACAAATTAAAATGGTATCAAAAATCATTATTTGAACATGAATTCTAGGTTCAGACTAGTGCTTTGTTTTGATTTGGTTATGATATGATTCTTGTGCAATTCAGTAGAATTCAGTTCAGTCCTACCTGGGCTAAATCTTATTGAATTCAAGGAGACATACTCCTAATTAAGTTTACAAGGAATTGCAGCTTTGGTTTGCTCCCTTTGTAAAGGGTTGCCTTTCTCCTAGGAACAAGCCAAAATTTTATATAAAATGGGCAACTCTTGAGAACAGAAGGAGTAATCAGCAAGGCAACAACTTTATAAAATATTAAATACTGTGTTTGAAAACACTTAACAACATTTTGGTGAGTTTAATTCATTTATTGCATGTGCTTTTAAGCTGCTTCCATCACTTATATCAGGTGCCCTGCACCCCCCACCAATAAAAATACATAAAAGCTTCTGGCCCAAACATATGTGACCCAAAAAAACCCCTAATGGGCCTAGTTCAGTCAGCACAGAAACAATGAAATAGTGTGAAATGGACACACTGATGTGCATTCTCCTAGCAAGGGACCAGAATGCACAGAGGAGCTAACGCACTTCCTCTTCTCATAAGTTCTAGAAGCAGAAGGAAGTGTGAATCCTCTCTCTCCACTTGTATGGAAAGTACAGCGAGACACCAAGGTTTGCTGCAATTGCTCTGAGCATGCAAGGCAATGAACTGTGCCTCGGTTGTTCTTCTGAACTGTGGTTGGAGATCGTGTCTGAACCAACTAATGCTATAAAGCCCATTAAGTCCATTAGGGGCAACTCTTTCTCCTTTTTAACTTAAATGTTGGAGGTGTGAATTTCACATCCTTGAACTGCCATTATGGCACAAAGTACACCTACACAATTCTGAGGTTGATTAAAAGGGCAATAAAAGCAAACAACTGAATAATTTATACTTAATCAGTGCTTCTGTGGAAGCCAGTCTCCCCTATCTGCCAAATGGGTTAAAATAAAAAAAGGAAAGGTCCATAGGACTTTTTAAAAGGAGGGAAAAAGTCAGACCAGAAGGTTTTTACTCTTTTAAAGCTTTTTCTTTTAAAACCATGACATTGCTGTTTGCCATAAGTCTCCTTAACATTTTAAAGAAATAAGTATAATCTTAGACTTTCTGAGGAATTTTTGGTTGAAGGAAGGATGAACACCAGCAGGACTCTGCCTGTAGCTAGTATTCACTCTGCCATGAATTTATCTGGAGCAACACCTCCAAATCTCATCCCAGTGAATCTACTGGAGAATTGCTTCCCATCACCATAGTGCACTATTAAGAATCTTATCAAACCATCCTGCAAACTGTCTGCAAAGAATTTTAATTTAGTAATCCCTCCCTCTCCCAACTAGTACTGTCAAATTATATTTGGATTGCAAATCCCAGAATTCCCAGCCTTTGGCATGTTGGCTAGAAATTCTGGGAACTGCAATGTCAACTTATATCTGGAGAATGACAATTGGCAAAAGCTGTTTGGTAAATTTTTAGAGAGCTCATTAAATTAAGGAACAATCTATATTTTCATCAGTGCAGTGCATTAAACTATTCATCTTTGAATTAAATCTGGCTGGAAAGTCTTTCAGTTTAAGGACAAGGACCTTGAACAACGTTCTTGAGCGACTGATAGAGCAGATAAATTCCTGCCATTAGGTTAATCTAGGAACTTAAAGCCTACTGGAACCTTTGTACCTTTGAAGGGAAAGGAAGAAAAGAATGTGTTACCACGGATGGCATGGTGTTCTTGCTTCCGGGTGGGATCAGTACTCGGAGGTCTGGTTTACGATTATTCAGTCCCAAATTCATGGGTGGAGGAGACTTTGCTTGCATATTCTTGTTCAAGTTGCCAGGTGAGACCAGCAGACCTGGGGAGTTTCGAGGGTTGCCATACCCGTTCCCTGTTCATTTTTGCAAAGAAAGCAAAACGAATGCAGGTTTAACAATAGATTCCTAGGTATGTAGATTAACCCTGAAATACACTCAGGGGATATTTTTCTTCTTTTCAATAACCTCAACAGGTATATACCAATTGTTCAGAAGACCCAGATCAGTATTCCCCAAGCTGGCTAAGATTTTTTGGGAGTTACAAGCCCAACACATCTGGAAGGTGTGGTATCTGATGAACAAATGGGATGGAATCTTTAAAATAAATAATAGTAACAATAAGGGTAGCAAAATAGAAGACAATTGATCATGACAGTCCCTTGAATAACCTCACTTGATATCATCTGGCACTGCATAATACTGAGCATTTGTATTGATTTCTAACATCCTAGGTAATATGTATTTTTACTTCATAGATTGTAATATTTTAAACTTAAACTTGCACAGGTAATTAACACACCATTATAGTAGTGTATGTTAATTTTTATTTGTTACTTTATCTCTGTTACGCTAGTATTTTATCCTTAGACTATTCTTTTTCAAATGTGTATTTTGATAATCCACTGATTAAGCTGTACAAGAGGAGCGGGCAACCTTTTGATGCCTTTACAATTTTTTGGATGGCGAGCTCTGTAGTGGGTGGTATGATATGCAAACTGAGTACAACTCTATCATGCACATGGGCAGATTAAAAAAATATCCTGGTCTTGATGAGTTGGGAGGAATATTGTGGGAGTTTCAGAACTAGATTACGCCTATTTTAGGCTTTACATTAAAGCTTTCATTCCTCCAGTTTTCAATCACTGTGGTGAGAGGGGAATCTGGAAACAAAAGAGAAGGTCTGAGGGTTGCATACTTCCCTAGAGTCTCCTGTTGCCTATCCTTGCTTCACAGGTAGCATCCAAGTAAGAATGACAGCAATTGCAATTAAAATACCAAACAGCCAGCTTTTATAAGTTGCACACAACATTTCGTAATAACAGCAACAAAATAGTGTTCTAACCAAATCAATTTCCAGAGGATTCCAATCCATTTCCCCTGCTCCAGATTACTTTTCTCCCACCAGTCATTGGCCTATGTTCAATACTGCTTTATTGGGTTGTCCTGGTTTCTGCACACCCAGGAATTTTTGTATACTTCTAAATCTTGGATTTTCCTTACACCTGTCACTAACTACCCCTAATGCTTAGATGGTGCAACTTTGGTTACATAAGAATAAGGACTGGGAAAATGAGCTTTGTTTGTATGTGTGTTATATAAATAAAGCCTGATTTTTTTTTTTAACTTGATCAACGTTATAAGCTAAGTATGCCGCATTTATTTTCCTTTACACTGAGGCACAGAGCACTAGTTTTCCCTTCGTATGCTATGTCTCAAAAAAGATCTATTGCTCTTGTATCTTTCTATATCCACCAGACAATGTGAATGATGTGTGTGTGTGTGTGTGTGTGTGTGTGTGGAGAGAGAGAGAGAGAGAATGAAGGATGTGCAGGAGAACCAAGGCATCTAAGTCCAAATCACTACTTAGCTATGAAGTTCACTCTCTGAATCTAACCTGCATCACAAGTCTGTTGTGCAGATGAGTAAGGAATACATATGCCCCTGTGCACACTTAAAAAAAGAATGGGATGATAATATAAACAATAAGACTCCTTCACATTGCTCTTTTAATATTTTAGGCTCCTAACAGGAAATCTGGTGACCTTGAGACAATTCTGAGCTACCTGAGGCAATGGGTTGATTGGATTCTGTAGGCTGGTTGTAACGTATTGAATATTTAACTGGATATTACCGAATGCTTGTTACACAGAAGAAAGAAACTGATGTCAGATGATATTGCTGGGGAGGTGGTGGTGGTGGGAATAGAAAAAGAAAGAACAAAAGCAAACCACAGTAAAAGGGGCTGTTTTATGGACAAATGCAATAGAATTCTGCTTAGCCTGGCTCCCTTCCCCCCCCCCCCACTTTAGGCTTTTTTGTTTTGAAACAAAAGAAAGTGCAGCAAGGCTATAATTTCCAGAAAAGAAAGAAGAAGGAAAAAACAAACCGGAGGAGGACTCAGAAGCCTCTGAAATGCTTCACCCTCCATCCCTTCCTCCCCTGTCAGAGCTTAATCCTGAATGCTGAGTTCAGCAGGAGCCGGTTCTGATTTGGAACACACCCCTTCATGTCATCTCTGCACTTGTAGCTTTACATCCTGACATTCAGGCATCTTCGCCTTGTGCTAATTTGGTGCTTTCAGAAGCAGTGCTGCTTCCCTTCTGAAACTGCAATAATCACAATGATAATGCTGGCACAGCACTGCAATTAGCAGCCTCTCTCGGCACCAGAGGGAGGAGGAGGAGGAGAGGAAGAGGAAGAGGAAACAGAGGGAGCTACCGAACTTATTCACCCGGGCAGTGGCTTCTCAACTCTCTTATCTGAGAGGGAGTTTCATTCTCCCCCAGGGTCAGCAACCAAAAAAGGCACCTGCTATATACTGACATCGCGGTAGCTGGCTGGAATCCTTACATTTAAGATCCCATTTTTAAGGCCGCTGAAATAGTCAGCCTTTAGTGATGTGGCTGAAGCATGCAATACCAATAGAATTATGAAAACAAAACATATATAAAAAGTGGCGTGAAATCAGCCATAGATGCAGAAATAAATTCTCTCTCACTGGCTCACAGACTCACTGTCTCACTGGTGTACACAAAACTTGCGAATAAATATAAAGCAAGACACAATAGAGTTGATTCATTTTTAACTTTCTAATAGTCAGATATTTAATTTTCTAAGGCTACAGTTGTAAATGCACTTTCTAGGAAGCAAGTTCAATTCATCAGAGGAGGACTTACTTCTGAATACTGTAAAAATAATTAAGATTATAAAACGTTAATGCTTTTAGAGTTGCCTAATCATATAATCCCTGCATCCAGTGATAGTAAATGGCACCATGAATATTTAGGAATTAAAGATGGAGGCCCAAGACTCCAAGAAATTCTACCTTTATACAACATATATTGTACATAATACATAAAGTAACACATGCAGTAACATTTGCATTGGACTGATTGCTTTGCTATAGGAAATTGAAATCCTGTTTTGTTATATCATATAACATGCTTGCAAGAAAAGTAGGGTATAAATCTAATAAATAAGTTTAAAAAATGACAGTCAATTGTTCAGTATAGAATACGGGATTCTTTCTTACATGCATACAAACATACAACTGATGTTTAAAACGCTTGTCTGTATGATCTAACAGTCAGACTTCTATGTGTTTCTTTTTAGGAAAAGGAAATGCAAGTGTGTGATGGGGAAATATTTTTTTTCCTAAAAACAACAACAACATTAAATCGAAGCAATTTGTTTAATAAAAAAGCTCAGCACTGGCAATGCCTTCCCATCATTTTTAGACTGTGCTACTTAGACACCAATCATGTACTTCTTTATGTATTTACCTACTATCGTAAAATATTTTGAAACGTGATGACATTTCCTGCATTTGTATTTTTAGAGCATCAAATTATTTTAAAGAGTGATTGCAATCTTCTCTTTACTAGTGGATTTCTGCTGTTCTTGGCTCATTGTGCCAACTGGCAATTTGGAGCCATATAATGACTGTTTCTCCTTCCAGCCACCAAATCGTTACGCTTTTGGCAGAAGATGGATTCTGGAATGTAAGACTGTAGACTCAAAACCCATGATATATAAACCCATCATTTGAAAATCTATGATGAATACATGCATGTGGCCTGTAGCAGAGGGGAGTCTGCATTTAATCTGGATGCTTAAACCGCATCCTCTGCTTAAAGGCTCTGGCCTCAACTGAGGCACCTTAAAGTTAAATGCCCTGAAAGTCTCTGTTAAATTCAGAGGCAAAGGAAAACCCAGCAGCAACAAAATCAACTCAGTCCTTCTAATATAGAGATTAAACCTTTCTTTAGCTTGCCCTTTAAAATTACACTTTGCCTGGACAGTTATCAATTTAAATGCAACTGTGTGCAGAATGCTATGTCCCGCAAGCCACTAGAAAGAGGGAAAATTATATGCCATGTACGGATGGATTTCCTGATTATAAATTAGGAGAAAATAAAGACCAGATGGAACGGAGGACTAGTTTGCATTATATTTTTATTCGATTAAAAGCCATATATTTGTTGAAATGGAATATATTCAATGTTATGTATATCACTTGTACTGCATAATGATGATGACGACAATAATGGAGAAGTAAAAGTTTGAGAGGGACATATATTTCTCAGCCAAGGTGCTCTGAAAACACCAGGGAACGCTGAGCATTTCTTTCCCCAGACCCTTACAATAACTTACTTTTTGTTTTATTGATTTTATTGAGTAAATGGTGTTTAAAAACAAGAAGCAAGACTGCTAAGTGTTGCACTGGAGCAAATAACCACTTTTCCCTTCAGTGTCCTAGGAGCCCTTTGTAGAAACCAGAAACACTGCAGAAGGAGACATGAAATGGAATGCTGTCTAACACCTTTTTTCCCCAGTGAATGCTTCTGCCTATCTCATTTGGAGAACAGATATAGGGCTTTTAAAAGGAGTTTTTGTTACGTAAGGGAGCAGTACATTCTTAAATGACATAAATTTCTTTCCACTCTTCCAGAAAAGCCCAATTGACTTATTCCCTGAGCTTCTTGACTGGGAGACATGGAGCTCTGAGCCTCCTTGGAAGCGTATGTAATAGTGTACATAAGAGAAGGTATGGCCTATATAATATGCACACACCTGCATGTGCACACATGCACACACACACAGCAAAAGACTCTCCATTTTATAGAAGAGAGTTCTTAAGGTTAAATCCTACAAAGAGCAGTTAAACGTACTTGGTATGTTTAGCCTTAAGAAGAGAAGGCCAAGGAGAGATATGATAGTAGTCTTCTGATATAAGAATGAATGTCACAGGAATAAGGTGTGGATTTATTCTCCATAGCACTTGAGGGTAAGACAAGAACCAATGGGTAGAAGCTTAATAGAGAGATCCAAACTTGAAATAAGGAGAAATTTT